GTCTGTGACACTTCGAGAACCACTACGGGTCGGATACACCGTGCATATTTAAGCGGGGTCATGATCCAAACACATGGCGTGGTAACGGCTATCTGAATATGTGATCGGCGCGCCTTGCGACGGCGATGTAGGTCGCCCGTGCATTCCTATACATAATCTAGTCTACAAAAGCCGCAGGCGGGGCGCTTGGCAACACGCTCGCTCTGTATCGCGTGTTTCGAATGCAATTGAGCCTGTCGACTAATCGTTGAATGCGTCGGAGGTATCGGTTTTCTGGTTCATTAGATGATTGGTGCAATACTGATCGGTCGCCGTAACATGAGACGAGCTACTCGGGATAATGTATAAAAAAACATAAAATTTTGACTCCTCCTAAAATAACCAGGTAATAGCTATGAAAATGAAATTGTAGGGATCTATAAGTATAAAAAGTTTGGGTAACGGTGGTAGGGCCACGCACGCAGACCTTACAGAAGACCAGCGTATAGTGGAAGTATGACAAATACTTTCGCGTTTCGTCTGGTGAGTGAGGTAGCCGGAACCCAATTTTCAAAAGGTTGTCAACGCATCTGTAACCCTCGGGTGCAGATTTCCATGGGCGACGGTATTCACTTACCATCAGGTGAACCGTCTGCTCGTTTGGCAACTTTCTCTTCAAAAAAAGTGCATAAAGTTCCGAATTATTCAAATGCCTGAAAGTAATGAAAAGATAATCGAAAAATACATTACAGCATTACATTCAAACATTATTTGTATAAAGGTAGATATTACAAGTGAAGCTAATAAAAGAGAATCAGTCAGAAAGACGTTTACATTACAGTTTCCAGGGACAGTTTAATTTTATGTACAAACCACCCCAGTCCGCCCCGTGACATGAACGCTGCAAAGGTGCGAAACAGATTTATAAAGTTGAATTGAACGCGTCATATCGGTTTAAAAATATTTCCGGATAGCAACAATATGAATAATATGGATAATACGGATTCATATTAATGAATAGTACGCATAATATGAATAAATAGTATTGATAATATAAGTAATGACTTACTACTAAGTATACTTTCAATTGAAACTTACATCGACACAACTAAGAAATGAGATCATAATATTGTACCTCGACTTAACGACGACCCGAATGGCGTAGTAGTTAGTGTACCTGCCTCCTGCGCCAGAGGGTGTGGGTTCGATCCCCACTACTGGAAAAATATTGTGTGATGAACATAGTGTTTTTCTAGTGTCTGGGTGTTTATATATCTATAATATGTATTTATTTACAAAAGTTTAAGTATGTTTATCAGTTTTCTAGTACCCATAGTACAAGCGTTGCTTAGTTTGGGACTAGAAAATGTTGTGTAAAAATGTGTCCTAAAATATTTATTTATTATTTATTTATTTAATTGGTTTCTCCCGTACTGCGAATTTTGTTTCATATCCAGGTGTAAGCGATCCGAGCGATCGACTCCCACTCGATCCCATTTAATTTCGAGACCCTTTCCGTACGTACGTACATATCTGCATTGGTTCATCCTTTCCGCTCCGCCGTTTAAATATTGATACGAAAGCCGATCGTTCTTTGCCTACCCCGTGCAAATATGCTTAGCTGTTATTGGAACGGGATCAGAGTACGCGGGTTTCGCGGAATACAGGTTGTGCGGCATGAATTGCGCGCAAAATTTGAATTTGGATCTTTTTTTCAACTCTGAAAGTTTCTCCCCGTCTAGCTTTTTAGTTTAGGGCGTTGTTAATTAATTCTCAAGAACTTTTAAGAGCGTACAATACAGTTCATACGACATGGTTCGACTGAGGCAGTGCTTAAGTTGTAATTACGAAATATGTTATCCTTTTTATGTTAGAGTATTCGTTTTGCGTGTCGTAATGCAATTTTTTAAAAGTACGCAACGCATCTACCATCACCTGTCATGTGTTGTAGCTGTGACAATTACTTAATACAAGGTGAACCCCCTGCGTGCTTGTCAAGTTTTCAAATAAAATAAAACAATTCCTTGTCATGAATGGTATAATTGATATATGCACTATTATTCACCTGTAGTGTTTCTCTGGTCTTAGGAACAAGTCTCCTCAAAAGACCATCGTCAGTTACGTCCTTAATCGCCCTACTGTCTGTGTCCGTCAATGTCAGATAATTGTTCCGAAACATAGGGGTTTATTTAGAGCGATACAACAGATAAGGTGGGTAGAATTTCAAACACAGATTATCGAATATTAGAACGTTGGAGATGTGTAAATGGAGTTGGATGTTAATTATACTGATTAATTATTGGCATGAGCGGTTAGCTCTAAATTACAGTCAGGTTCTATGGCATCGAACTTGACGGTGTTGAGCGTTGCATTGGCAACTGATTGCCAACCAAAGCCTGGGATGTACCTGGTGCACAATAGACTGGCAACCAACCACCGTGGTTGTCTCTAAGCGCGTCTAATGATGGTTCTTTGTCTGCGGACGACTTTTGAAGATCGCCTTTATTTGTTTTGCCCCGTCTGTAATGGAGAACTGCGATAATGATGCCCTGTATGATTTAATGCTTTGTCTTCTGTATTTATAAAATAATGTAGTAGAGTGCACGTCTCTCATATTTTTTTTTAATTTAGAACTGGCCAGCACTGAATATTGAATTTAATAGACCAAATATTTGAGAATGTTAGACGAAATTGCTGGTATTTCTGAATAGAAAGATTCTATGTCCAGCTTGGTCTATTATTTGAATACTTTTTTTCATGACCTGATTTCTATGTGAATTGATATCAATTTGGCTTTTGATTTATTAAGTTTTTTAAGTGTTATCTGGAAAATGTTAATAGGTCTCGGGGTCTTTATTATTAGTATTCTGTATTGAGTTCCTCTTACGTTTTGAGGAAAAATAATTTATTCCTCTTTTGTGTAATGAAATATTTGAATTTGTTTCACACGTTGCATTGTTGAAAGTTATTTGTATGATAAGTAAATAATCGACGATGTCATAACTCAAATATAGGAATTTAGGATAGATGTTTGTTTCCTCTCATAAAATAAACTACCTAGTCAATTTTGAAAATAATCACGCAAACAATGTCGCGGGTAAAAGCTGGTTTGATCACTCTACAAGCTTATTATATCCTTACGTTGATTTTTTTTCTCTTTATATACTCGGAATGCGAGTCGCTGATCTGGCTATTATACATTAACACACGCAATCGCTAGCTGTTAATACCTCGTAATCTATAACGCGTAGTTTACTTTCCACACGAGCCGTTTTAATTGGCGCTTGATGTTACGTTAGCGCTTCTCGAGGTTAGAGCCGGATTTGATTTAATTGCTTTATTAGCGTTTCAATCCCATTGTCAAAGAAATATTTCGCTAAAGTACCTTTATTTGTTAACATTGAACATACTAAAGTTACCTCTTTCGTCCTATCTAGCTACTTTGTTTTGATAATTTCAACCAGAACTAAATTGTAAATACCTACGTTTAACCCATTATTGCTGCGAGATTTGTAATTAATTGGAAATTAAATTCCAAAATGTTTTATAATATCGAACAATTCACACTTATCCATTTAATAAAAAAACTTGCTTGTTATAGGTACTTGAAATTTTTATTTTTTTTCATTTTCATGGGAGTTACATATTTATTTATTTTATGCGAAAAGTTGTCAAACGAGCAGACGGTTCACCTGATGTTAAGTGAATACCGCCGCCCATGGACATCTGCCACACCCGAAGGTTACAGATGCGTTGACAATCTTTTGAAAATTGGGCTCCGGCTACCTCACTCACCATACGAAACAGGAAATTATTTGTCATATTTCCACTTTACGCTGGTCTTCTGTGAGGTCGTGGTACTTACCCGGACGGGCCTGCCCATTTGTGCAACAGCCGAGGCTGCTGCGTGGCCCTACCACCGTTAGAAAACAACATTTTTAGTTTCGTTTGTATAATAACAATGTTTTATTCAATTGTGCTTTCGAAATGGTTTCCATTCATGAATAACGTATATAGGGCTATCAAATTTTAAATAAGTATATGAATCGAAATTTCTACGTAATTTTTTATTAGTTTTTATTTCTGCAATACATGTAATGTTGTTCATTTAATAAATTTCACCCCTTAATAATTTTTGCACATTGTTTCTACACAATTTGTAGTCATTATTTGTGTTTGGGCTTCAATGAAATGAAATCAATTTATGGTTTAGTATTTAAAACTCTTTTGAAATCGGCGTGATGAAATTTGCAACTTTGATTGAATAATTTATTCGTTTTAATATGGATGGATGATCTTGAATTTTAGTCCAATTTGCATCCGCTGAATTTAGAAAGGCGTAAGTGAAATTGAATTTCTACAATTGATCCTTGTGTTGAGTGTTTCGTGCCGGTTGCTTTATAGCAAATTTAAAAAAATGCCCTTGCCAAGATTACAATAGGTTCTGATTATATTATTGTGGCTGGTGAAGTGTTGACAACGTTATGTCATGAGACCATTTTAAAATTGACGAGAAAGCCTATGTTCACTTGGTTGCTCGGTATGAATCCAAATACTGCAATATTTGGATGCTGCTGCAAAACGATCTGAATTTGACGAATAACTGGCTAATCTATTCAATGATGACTGATGGATGAGGTAATAATTTCGCCGAATATGCAAATGCAGTGCAACAAAGTGTTTACCGTTTTTTTCTCAGATAGCTTACGTTAAATCTCTATGTCACATTTATTTCAGACATATGATGACAGGCTTACCACTTGTCATGAAGGCGACAAAACGAGTTCGGTTATATGTCGACAGCCTAGCTGTTTCTATCTACCAGATATGGGCTACGAGTCGTGAGTGTTTGTTTTCCGTAGATGCCTACCAGGAGAGCATCATTGCAATTCACGATGTGAACTCGGCGATTTAGCGGCGCGAGGCGACGATCCCCTTGAATTAATGCGCTCCATTATAGGAATCTCATTACCGGGTAACGTACGATATCCCATTAGACGTTCATGCGTATTCATATTCGTATGGCCGTCGATCAAGCTCCCCGAATCCGATGCGACGGCGTTGGCTCCGCAGGCAAACCGGGATTTATGTAATTCCCGGTTCGCCCGTTGAGACGGCGATGCTCTTACACGCGACGACGGCGGGACGACTGAACAACGATGCGGGAAGTTAACATCATTACAGCCTGTTAAAGTCCACTGCTGTGCATAGGTCTATGGGTAACGCTTATGTTCCTACGCCACCAAGACTAGGTCTTGTTATTGAAATTTACGAATAACAGCCTTAAAACAGTGTAAATGGCTATACCATATATATGATAAAATTTTTACTGTGGGCAAATTAGTTTATTACTCTTTTCTTTGTCATCATCATCATTTCGGCCTATTTGAATCCATTGCTGGTCCTCCCCCACTGACTGTCACGAATCACAACCTCAAGTCACCATTATAGTATTTTATTCTCTAGGTCACTACTACTGTCGTTATCAGAGGTTACGTGTAGTTCTATATCGGAAAATGTGATCTATTGTTATTTATCAAATGATTTATGTCGTTGGAATTATTCTAGTTAAAATAAATAAGATAATATTAAGCTGGTTCCTTTTCCGTCTATTCCTGCCCTTTTATTTCTCTATTAGTGTTATTCTACTATTGTGTGTCGTAAAGATTAACATCGAGTCCAAGTCGTCGCGGTGTCGTATCGTAGTCGTCGAGAGTGAACGGCCCCGACGCGGCGAATCCGCACAGCTCGGAGCCGGAATGCTAATGACGTTATTGTGTCGTGGATAATTTTATTTATAGACCGACCGTTCGCAATGTATGATTTTCCTGTTTATCTTGCTTTACGGCTTCGCGTAGTTCCGTGCGCCAAGCCGTCGGTTGAGTTCACGCTATACAGCACCGTCTAAGGAATCTATCGATGTATCGATTCAGAAACGCTATTCGAAACTTATCAAGTATGTTAGTGTTTGTTATATGGTGCATTTGTTTCGATTTGTAACGGATTTACTGAGACTGGCGTCAAATTTCGATTTTGATTGTATCAAAGGTTGTATGAAACTTTATCGTCATTGATTGTATCTTTTTATTTGCCTTTGAATCCTTTATGTCAACGCTTTTCTATGTAATGACCTTTCGCTATGTGGAAGAGCGTCCCGTGTGTTGACGTCATGACCTAAATTATTGGTTATTATTCTGCGAAAAAGGTGATGACACTTATTTGTGGTTTTGTGGTAGCGGTCTCATTTGCCTCGATTTAATTTTATCAGTGCCTATGACCCAAAAAATAGTAATATGCATCTCAATTCTTGAATTAGTTTTAGAAATATTTTATATTCTTTATTACTGTAAAGGGAAGATTATGATATTAGAGCCACGCCCACATTTTTTTACTAGTTAGTTTTAGTCAAAAACATTCATTTTACGAAATTTTAAGATATTTTATGATATTTTCAACGCTGGCTTACAACGTTCATATTTCATCCATACCAAGATTTGGATATTGCACGAATCGGCAGGTCCGTTCGGGTAAGTACCACGACCTCACACTTCTGCCTTTCATCTGGTGAGTGTGGTAGCCGGAGCCCACTTTATTAAGAGGTGGCAACGCATCTAACCTTGCGCATGTTGCAAATGTCCATGGGCGGTGGTCATCACTTAAAATCAGGTGAACCAGCTTGCTTGCCAACATAAAAAAAGTTCTTTTCCACCCAGAATTTTTAGTATATCATTAATTATTCCAGTGTGAACAATGTCTTATTTTTATGTCCATAAGCGCCTAAGACGATTTATTCTGTTTCAAAAAGTATTTTATTTATTCCTTTTTTATATGCTTTATTGCTAAGATTAAATAAAAAAAGTTAACAAAGGTTGGAATTACTGCCCAAAGGCATTCTCTACCAGTGAATTCAGAATGTAGCGAGAGCTTATGGGTAAGCAAGGCATGCAAAAGTTACAATATGCTGCCATAAAAGGAAAACGAACATAACTCTGGTTATAAAATCAATCGTAACATTTCATCTGCCATAGCACCAGAGTCGCAAGCATCCGTATCGACCTAAAAGAATTCCGAATTTCGGCCGCTCGCCAACCGAGCGGCACCTCCGTCGACCTCTGCTCTCCCGGTACGTGGAAATAAAACTGCAAATTGCATTCGTTAGCGCGTTCGCTGGCGCGCGCGGGTTAGTTCTAAATATCCGTCGCTCCGGGTCCCGGCTCGCACTTAAGCACGATCAATTAAAGATGCTCCGCCGGCCGGATCTATTATTGAGGCTGCTAGAATATTCCGCGCGGAGGGACGCCCGCAGGAATGGGGTCAACAGACATAGACACGGAAACGGACGGTGCTCCTAATTGAGGCTGTCTCGTTGGGTACGAGTACGTTCGCTCCGCTTTTAGACGAGGAGGACTCTAGATCGAATTGAAACAAGTGGATAAATTTTTAAAAGTTTTGTTTAATAATGGACCTTTGTAAACCGGGATACGCACCCGACGCTCTCGCAACTGAGTTAAAAGGCTTATCTTTGCACCGGCGAAAATCTAAACGTATCTTATATACCTATCTTGTTTTTTTTTTAACATTTTTAAGCAATCTTTGTATGTAATGCAGTTTGCAACTTGAGTTACAAAATTCGTATAGTTTAAAAATTATTAATTTTAATTTTTTTTAATCAATACAATTTATTGACCCGTTCTTCTGTCGAAACGACGTTAATATTATTACAAAATTAATAATCCATCTAAATGAATACATCAACTTATTTATTGACCCTTTACTCTTCGTCTTTCGAACCGACTTCAACAATAAATAAGGTTCAATTAATTTTTATACCTCATTAAGACACAGACACAACGAATGGGGAAAGTGAGCTGTTGAATTTTGTTTATCAGCACAAAATACCAAAAGGTTTTTTTTAAAGCTCCACTCCGAATGTACGGCATTCACTCTCAACTGTACATAAATATTATTTACAGTTGACAGCGGACGCTTGATGATACAAAAACGTTTATGGTAGTAAAAGGTATCTTTTTTTCTTATTTGAAGTGATACGAAAATATTTCGCACGTTCTGAATTTGTTTACGTTTGCATAGTAATTTTTTATTCTTGTATACTTTTATTTACTTTATCGTTTGTATACTCTGTATTTTTGTTGAAATTTTTTTTTTATTTTTTAATTCTAAACTGGCCAGCACTTGACCGCCATCCCAACTGATGGTAAGTGGTGATGCAGCCGTTGATGGTAAGCGCGCGCAGCTCAGTAAAAACCCATTCACTCTTGCCTTGAAGACGTATGTTGTAATCGGACGGAAAGACGGACGCCGGCAGGTTATTCCATTCCTATTTTTTTAACTATTAGATACTAACTAATAATTATAAAAATAGTTACAATAATCTTTTATATAAAAATGGATTGCTGTGCGTTCGTCTTGCTTAAACTCGAGAAAGGCTGGACCGATTTGGCTAATTTTGGTTTTGAAATATTTGTGGCAGTCCAGGGAAGGTCTAAACGATGAGAAATTATGGAAAAATTGCATGGAATATCGAAATAGTTTTATTTTCAACAATTTTATCTTCCCATACAAACTGTACCTGTCAACCTGTCAACTATGTCTGTGTAACCTGTCAAACACTTTATGCGTGCGTTCCGATTCCTCTAGAAATAATTTATATGGCAAAACAACGTCTCCCGAGTCAGCTAGCTATTTAATAAATCTGTCTCGGTTGCATTGCGAATCAATGCACGATCACCAAACGTTGTAACGTTTCGTCCTAGCAAAAAACCGACGTCAGCGAGGCTCTGCTAGTGAAAAGCCCACGCTAAGCGGGTTGCGGTCTGTTGGGCTATCGCAAAAACACGCGGTCGCCGGGCCACGTCGGGCTTATCGGATTTACGTCGGACGTGCCGGGACCGTGCCGTTACCGTGTCGGTGCCGTGACGGGCGACGTCCGCGATCTAATTAACTGCATAACCGCGGCCATATTCGCACTAACACAGCCGAACGATGGTTTTGTTTGTTTGAGAAGATGGTAAGCAGCTAAGTGGTAACCGCCGCCCATTGATTTGCAACATCCGTAGGGTTGCAGATGCGTTGCAACCGTTTTAATAAGGTGGACTACGGCTACACTTCCACTTCACCCCTATCTATGATGTCGTGGTACTTACCCGGACGGAACTGCCCATTCGTGCAACAGCGATGTGTTTGTGGCACTACCGCAGTGAAAAAAAATAAAGAAACTCTAAGCTTTGTTTTAGTTAGCTACTTAGCTATCGTGTGACAATAGTAAATACGAGACGCCGTTCCTTATTTAGCTATCGGATTAACAACGCCAAGACAGTGCCTTTGGATGTATTTGTTTATGTAAAGTATGAGAGCTCCATATATAAAATAAAGCTAGAAGCATTGTCTCTATAAATTATAAATATTGTCTCTATTAATCGAAATGTACATAGAGTTATCGAGAAAAAAGTTTTGAGATTGCGGCCAGCTAGTACAACGTAACGTTTACGTAGAAAGAGGTCCCTCTTTTCGATTTTATACCGGTGTTTTTGTATTAACATATTGCGTCTCCTCCTTTGATCTTAATTAGCTTGGTTCTCGGTTGTATTACTTAAGACACGGTAAGCATCGTCGGCGGCGTTCGTCCCGCGTGTAATTTCAATCAGCGAACGCTCTACTATTCCGCACACGGGTTGAAAGCGCGCGCGTGCCTAACCTCCCAACTTAGACATTTCGACTTCAATCAAATACAAATTAATGACGGCGTACGAGCACATCGCATACGAATTGAGGCTTCGAGCTGCCTAGCGATTTCAGTTATTAATCTTGTATTCAATCATAGGGCACGCATAGTGGTTTGAAATGGGGCCGCCCTCTGTCACCTTTTAATTAAGTTTACGTATATCTGTAGGCTCATATTAATAGTTATAAATGTTTTATGCTATGGCTTTATGAAGGAAATAAATCAAATACCGAACAATACATTTTCTTGTATACAAGAAGATGGTAAGCGAGCTGGCATGACATTTTCTAAACTCGTAAAGATGGCAACGCATGTGCAACCGGCACACACGTTGCCATCTTTTAATAAAATGGGCCAAGGCTATCTCACTCACCAGACGAAAGGCACAGACACTTTCCAATTGGACGCTGACCTTCTGTGAGGTCGTGGTATTTCCCCGGACGGACCTGCCCATTCGTGCAACAGCGAAGATCGTAGCGTGGTGGCCCTACCGCAAGTGGAGCTGATATAAATACGTAGCCCCAATTACTAGGAAACAGTCACTTAGGGAGGGCCCCTAACTGACTATTTCCTATATTTATCCGTCAATCTCATGGTCTCTCTATTAGTCTCTTTTCATTTTTGGATATTCCTGTGACCTGCTCCGATAACAGGCTATGTAATTAAAATACGCTAAAAATAAGTATGGTATACACGACCAAACTTAATTTAATTCTCGGCTTTTACTAACTTAAATCAGTCAAGGAATAAATACATCGTGAAGAAACCTGCATATTTTATATATATTATCTACATAATCCGCAGTGGGTTCGCGTGGTGGACTCTAAACTAATAGCCTCTGTACAGCCTTTGTCCAGCGTGGGACATAAATAATTTTATTATATAAAGACTAGTCAAATTTTAAGCAATTTGCGTAGTAGTGCAAAGATATTCTGTCATCTCTTGCAGAGAGTGTGGTTTCGACCCCACTACTGGAACGGTATTGTGTGATGAAGATAGCGTTTTTAGTGTGTAGGTGTATATATACTAAATTTTGCTTAAGGATGATTTTCAGTCACCAGAGGCGATGAGGTTCAGTACCAGGTAAACAGAAATGGTCAGTTCTACCCATTTCATACACTTTCAAGAATTCCGATGAATTTATATTCGCGTAACCATAGTCCTGTGTAACTTTTTTGTATTCGAGAAACGAAATATCGTTTTAGCTTTATCAACAAGTGCTAGCCAACTATTTAACAGTGCTAAATGTCTTCCGTTCATCTTTTGATTTGGAGATGAATTGGTGTTTCAAATAACCTTTATTACTCCACGACTCCACGACGGTCACACTTCTGCTCTAGGGGCTGTTATTCCAACAATACCTTACTGCAGTTTGGCATAGGGCCAGACGTTAGTTATGACACGTACGTTGCCATTTCGCGCGGCGAAACTAGCACGAAATTCGGCAGTAACTCCAGCTAAACTCACTTCACGGTAGGCGGCGTCTGTTTGGAGTGATGCAGCCGAACGACATATGATGTAACTCCCCGACGTATACAATTACTCGACACTTGTTCCGCGTTAATTAGACATCTCGATGCGTGTATGTCGCTCGGTATTATATTAATATACTATCTCGGTTGTCAAAGGCGTATTCTGGAAAATCGATCGTTGGTTAAACTGCTTTTGACTAAGCCTGCTTTATAAAAAGGTGCTGAAGTATCTGCAATCCTACGGGTGTTTCAAAATGTCATTGGGCAGCGGTTATCACTTAACATCAGGTGAACCGTTATACGCCACCTTCTCATATAAAAAAAAACAATGCCAAATTTGCATTAATAGCTACGATTTTTAGCCATTGTTCCATCGGTCACGAAATGAATAAAATTTTAGGTAAGTTTATATAATTTACATAGTTATAAATTCGAAAAGGGACAGTCTACGAGAATATACGTAATTCAAGATACTTCCATATTTACACGATAAGTATTTTATCATTTGTATAGATATGACCGTTTTTGTGTCCCGTGCAAAGTCTTATTGTTTTTATTATTCTGTTTTTCCTATACCACTAATTTTACTATATATATTTATTGTATATAATTTTACTATATACCTATATATTTATTGTATATTTTCATAGTGGTTGTTTTCCCAGCGATATCGTCAACGAGGCTATCCGATTGCGTCATCGGTAGTCACTTTAACATCAGAATAGGACCGCTCGCGGCGAACGCGGTGGAAATAATTAATGTTCATTAGCTAGTAGCGACTTGACGTCACCTTGACTGAACAATTTTACATCTAGGTCCCGCGATTGTTGGCGTATCGAAGTTTGCGTGTCTGTGATTGTTGCCACGTCTTATGAATGTTTGTGCGAACTAATCGCAGACCATTGTCGGACCGTTCTAAGGAGCATTTGATGTTGATATTCCCCGCTCGACACGTTGTGCAAATCTGAGTGATATTTGAAGTCTTCTAGTACAGTGGTTAAGTTTCGTTGTAAATGTGTATGTGTATCGAAAGGCGGTGAATGCGGTGTTTATTTTATGTATCCTGAAAGCGTATAGTGAGAGGGAGGAATTAGTGAAGTAAGTGATTGCGTACGTAATTTAACACGATGTTTACCTATTTTTGTGAGTATTTTTAAATAAATACATGTAATGAGTTACCTGATATGCAGTGATCTATTAGTTTATGATTTAAATTAAAAATATTTGTTAATAAAACTATTTCATTAGGTAATTACGTGTAAGACAGCCCAGTCTGCACATCCTGAATTATTAAGGGTCATTCTCAAAAAAAAAAAAAAAAGGTTTCTACTGAGAAATCATTTTCGGTAAACGGAGATTGTTTATTGACTCGTATTGCTTGTGGTTTCGGTCTATCCCTCATAATTATTAATATTAAGTGATAAAACGTAATTTTTTCGCTAGAAATAAAAGCTTATTTAAAAATTATTTTTTTCGCGTTTCAGTGACTTTGTGCCCGTTATTTCATGTTTGCGGTGCCTTCTGCGACACAAAGATACGCGTCGCTTTTTAATCCTTACTAATATTATAAAGGCGAAAGTTTGTATGTATAGATGAATGTTTGTTACTCTTTCACGCAAATACTACTGAATGGATTTTAATGAAACTTTACAATAATATAGCTTATATATGAGATGAACACATAGGCTATAATTTATATACATATTTTATGTATATGTCTGTCTTGTCTGTCTGAATGTTACGCCTTCAGCCTATTCTACGCAGACGTAGTGGCAGGCAGCAGCTAGTTTTAAATAAAGGAATAAGGGAAGAGTGCAAACGGTAATTGAACTTTATTATCAAAAGTAATACATCGGAATCGGGCCCGCGAGGTTGCCATTACTGTGGACTTGTTGATGTGTCGAGACTCACGGCGTATGATCTGTGTTGCCGTTTTGAGGGAAATTAATTATCGCTCTGCGCGACACGCGTCGGCGCCGCGCCATAAGTGTTCATTAGGGGGCGCTTTGTGCGAGTTAACAGTAGCGCCGTATTCAATTTCGTTCTGCTTGTCACGTCACATTCGCAATGTTTAAGCGAGATCTTAGACGAGCAGCTCGGATTACGGCGGTCTGTGTAATTTATATTCGTGACGGGTTCGTGTCTTATTAGCGTTCCGTAGAGGAAATCGGGCGATTTTTTTTTTTCGAAATCGATAAAGATTCGCCTCTTGTCGATATCGTTTTTACGCTGGTAGGGCCACGCAGCAGCCTCGGCTGTTGCACGAATGGGCAGGCTCGTCCTGCTAAGTATAATACTTTCGAGTTTCGTCTGGTGAGTGAGGTGGCCGGAGCCCAATTTTCAAAAGGTTATCAACGCATCCGCAACCCTCGGGTGTAGTAGATGTGTATGGGTGGCGGTATTCACTTAAAATCAGGTGAACCGCCTGTTCGCTTGACAACTTTTCATATAAAAAAAGAGCATCTAAGAAAATAAATTATAATTTCTTCAAAAATTTAACTATATTTAAAAAAAGTATTTTTTACGTAAATGAAGTTGTTGAGGTTATATTTTTAGTTTATTATGAGAGGGGAGTACGGGTATCGAATTATCGATATCTTTTAAGTTCTGTAAAAACAAGTGATTTGTATTGTATATATTTAAAGAAATTTTGTTTCTTATGGGCGGCGGTAATCGTTTAACATCAGATAAACCGCTCGTCTGTCAAATTTTCAGAGAAAAATCAGCTCTTGAGCTACAACACTACAATCCATGGCATTAGCAAAAGGCGCTCGTTTAGACTTCTAACTCGATCAAACTGGTACTCGAACTTCGCGTCTTCCTAAACTTATCCTCTTTGTCTTTAGCTTATAATATTGTTATATACATATAATTTTTAGAACAAAGATAAAAACAAAATCGTTCGTAGCGTATGCTGGGCTTTACGTGTATCTTTTTATGAGTTTCGTAAGCGACATATGTCTGATTAGCGGCTAGGATTGAGCTCGGTGCATGCGATCTACCGACGCATCGGCGATTGCACTCCGAGCGACAAATCAAACGTGATACGCCGCCGCCATTAAGCGTAATGTCCGAGGCGACGCGCGCGACAGTGACGAATGATAATGAGCGTGTTTGCAGCGAGCGGGCCGATTGGCCGGTCGTCCCGCCGCCCGCGGCTCGCGTGACGCCGCTCTGATAGCACGCCAACGATAAATATTTCATTTTTCCTGCCCCCCCACGTCATCAATCTTGTCCGCGGCCGGGCGATTCAATCGGCCGCGCTGTTTACACGACGCCGAATCGTGGTGTCGCCGATAAAGCGGCAATTAACACGTTCGTTGCTCGACGCAAATGAAGCTCGCTGAAACGTTTTTTAATTCTACTTTTATTTTTATTTTTGGATCGAACTCTGCCTGCAATAACAACTAGTGAATGATTAGGTCTTCATTTAGTATGAACCATTTTGATGTTGTTTTTTTTTTGTCGAAGGTCCCTTGCGCAGTCGTCTTGAATCTCTGATGTTGTCTGGACTTTGTTTTATTATTATATTTCGCTCTCATAAAATAAGCAATTTTTTGTCGTGTTATTTACTTTAGAAACTTCTGTCTCTCGCCTAAAGCTCGAAATTATTTCCAACCCGTGTATATGTATTATATATGTATAACATTATGAAAATGGAGTATTTAATAAGTAATATTCATTATGTCTTTTTTATGTGACAAGTTGCCAAGCGGGCGGGAGGTTCACCTGATGTTAAGTGGAAACCGCCGCCCCGCTACACCTAGGGTTGCAGATGCGTTGACAATCTTTTGAGAATTGATTTCAATAGATTGTCAACGATTGTAACCACTTTACGCCGGTTTTCTGTGAGGTCGTGTTGGTGAGGTGGTTAGGACTTACCCGAACGAGCCTGCCCATTCGTGCAACAGACGAGGGTGCTGCGTGGCCCTACCACAGTTATCTACATGTATGCTACGTCGATTAGTATGGGGATTTGTTTTCAGATTGTTTCTTTTCAAGTTTTCGTACCAAAAGGGTAATTTGTACGTTTTAACTAATAATTGTAATGTTTTAATTAAAAAAAAATAATTGTAACGTTCTAACTCTGTTTTTCTCTTTATTGTTTCAGGTAAGTTCTGAGGCAGCATAAGGGCTTTAATATCTATAAAATAGGTGACATCCACAAACGACTAAGTATAAACAATTTCAAACAATTGATTAAAGCTTCCTTAATGACAAGGGCCTACTGTAATGTCCAAGAGTACATTGAGGACAATGATGTGTGGAAATGACCCTTGCTCTGCACTTGCAAGACCACTGGCTGCTGCTGATTTTATACCTAAATAAGTTTGTATAATTGCATCCCAAAAAAAAAACAAGACCGCAAGTTGACGTTCAACAAGAGCTTAAGTTAAGTTTATATTGAATAAAGATACTTTGACTTTATAAAAATGTAAACCTACCAAATTTTCTTCCGTTGATTTAATTGAAACACAACAAACACTATTCAATGATTTTAGTATAGAAGAATGCGTTATTTGTTAAGTTGGCAACCCTTGACATTTGAACTTTTTCGCCAACCCTATAAAGATCGTTAGGTTAAACGCTTTTTATTCGGGCATCGTTGCGAAAGCGGCGTTGTTGTTTTATTTTTTTGTGTATCCCCCCTCCCCGTTGGAATTTATTTTCGCCTCCCCTAATAACTGCATTCGATTTATGAGAGGGACGCGGACGATAAAGGCCCGGAGAAATATGGGCCGCGCGGGCAAATTATTTATTTACCGTCACATTAAGCGACCTTGTTTTTCGCCGAAAATTGGGGAGAGCGACGGCCGGATCGCCATGTTTCGTACATGTATTTCGAGCGGGATTTTTTAACGAGCAGGATGTTCATCTGTTAGTCATGAGAAACGTTCACAGATATATTTAATATGGTCAGTCATAAAATAAACACTTTATCGTGACGAGTCAACCGCCTTATGATAAAACAAGTAAGTTTTTTTATTTACGAAAAACACAACCGATTTCAAGTATATCGCTCTGTATTCATTTTATAATTGAATTCAGGAGTTCCCTACGTTTCACTGGACCCCAGTTCTGAGGTAACAAAAATAAAAAATATACAGTCGAATTGAGAACGTTCTCCGATTTTGAAGTCGCTTGATGATAGATTCACCTTATTCGAGGCTTTAACGTAACTTTGCCGTATTTTTCCATCATCATCATCATCATCATCATTTCAGCCTGTTTGAGTCCACTGCTGAACATAGGCCTCCCCCATAGACTGCCACGAAGTACGATCCTGAGCCACCTGCATCCATCGACTTCCCGCACATTTGGACATATTTTTCTACATTATTTATTATTTTCATCAGCATTACTTATAGGTGCCGTAAGGTTACATTAAATAATTTTATTGCTCACTGTGCGGAGTAAGAATTACTGAAACAGATTTTCGTCTGTATATTGACTAAAAGTCAGTATCATAGCTTTAAAGTGGCTTCTCTTTTATTCAAAAAGAATTCAGATTAAAATATAACAAATATTATTATGAATATTCCATTTCCTACTTCACTTTTTCTAATTTGAATACATATTTTGAATCCTTTTGATTTGATTATTGATTTTTTTAAGAACTGCACCTTATGTTTGCCTATATGATTGTCTATTCAGTTTTATGTACATTATTATTAATATGATGTTCTATGGTCGTAGAAATCGGTAGAAAATTTTAATAAAGCAGAATATAGAAAATAAATGAACACCGCGGCATTGGCAAAAAACGAAAAGGAAGCCTGTCAGAGTGAAGTTGTGTTTAGTGTATGCATTTATGGTTATTTATATATTGTCTGATGTGTCTAGGATTCGTTTCTGATGAGCATATCTCGTTATATTTACATTTCAGTCATTCAGCAAAGCTCAATTATACAATCTTAAACTTATACTAATGACAATCTTAAGCTCTAAGAACTTCTGAAGCTTCTAGAACTTCTAAGGATCTAGAAGTGTTCGTCCCGTGCATGTCGATACACTTACCACCAGTCAAATTTGAGACTCAATAGGATACTTGAATAGTTTATCGCACAACTTACGTCTTTCTACGCTGCATGGGACGAGGACGCGGTAGCCTGGAAATATCTAATTACACTCTGACATGCAGCGCACGTAACGCTATTGTTACACGCCCCGCCTCGAGCCATTAATCTCGCGTAAACACGAATAGATGAGGGGCTTTTCTTCCCACGTATCTTCTTGTGGCCGCAAAAAAGACAATGCGTCGGCCAGCGCACAGGACGGATCTTCTCCCTTTCCTGATCCGTTAAAAGAAAAGAAGAATTGAACTATTTTTATTTTCCTTATCACAATAAATTGTGACGATCTGAGCTCGAGTATGTAATAGCTCAAGTGTTAATATTTTAAACACAATGAAGATAAGACACGACCACACCCAAGTTACCATACCCTACTTCAGACTTCCAACCTGTTGCTTGGCCCAACCACGAATATAAAGAAGTTATACTTTTACTACTATTGAATGTGAATGGACTATTCGTTTCGCAACTTCTCCAAAATAAAACAATCCAATTACTCGCGAATGTAGTTCACAAGGGATACCTTACTATTAATTGCTCTACATTCCGAAAATAATATAACACGCAATCGTTCTCTCTCGCTCGAGCTCTATCGACGTCATCGTCCCTAAGTACCCTTACAGGGGCGTATCAAAAGGAAGCTCGTGCAGTTGTTTGAGAAAAAATAAATTACCAAGCGGCCTGTTGATTCGGGCGGGCTTTTTGCGTTCGGCCACAAAGGGCCCCTTTTGCGCTCAGTCGTCGCCGAATTTCTCCCCGGTATCTGCATTGAACCGCCGCAAAAATGCTCGGAACTTACCGAAAAGTGTGGTGCGGGAAGTTGTTTGTGTTTCTGACGCTGCGCGGGACGATCGTGTCTCGAGTATGGATTTTAACAGCACCTTACGTCGATTGACGCTATATAATGACAGGTGTATAAGAGGAGATCGTATAACAAATCTAACTCTAAGTTAGACTTAGTTATACGTTATTACATGCACTATAAAAAGTTTAATTTATGCAGCTTCTAATAGGCTCTAAACTGCAGCGCTGAAACTCTGCACTTAAGATGAAACATTCAGTAAATTCAGTAATTCAGTAAATATTTTGGACACATTTTTACACAACATTCTCTAGTCCCAAACTAAGCAACGCTTGTACTATGGGTACTAGAAAACTGATAGACATACTTACATACTTTTTTTTTTGTAAATAAATACACATTATACATATATAAACACCCAGACACTAGAAAAACACTATGCTCATCACACAATATTTTTCCAGTAGTGGGGATCGAACCCACACCCTCTGGGGCAGAAGGCAGGTACACTACCGACTACACCATTCGGTTCGTCAAATTAAAATGTTTTTTTTACAAATTTTAATATTTCAACCTAAGTGCAGAGATTAGTACTGCAAAAATTTTAAATTCGAATTCTCGGTGTAAAATGTTATTTGAAATTGTTAATTTGAATATAAAGGAGGTAAAAATATATGCGCTAAGCATTGCTTGAAAAGCCAAAAAGAGAAAAAAAATATTGTAAATAAAATACGTAGAGATTTTTCTCGTTGCGGCAGTCAGCCGTTTAGCTTAGTGGTTAAAGCGTTTATGCGCGAATCCGGAAGATGTGGGTTCAAAAACAAAACAAAAACTTGATAGCACTACCAACTTTACACCAAATTTAATTCGTCCTTTACTATGAAAAGTAAGCTTTAAAACTGTAAAAAATAATATTATTTTTTTATATCATTTTTTGTTATTAATAAAGAAACAAAATGAAATAGAAAATTTATGAAATAATAAAATATAAAGTGTACATGTAATAAGAAATGTATTGTGCTGTGTGATTATGTCAAAAATATCATACAAATTATTTGATATAATCACTACCTAGTATAAAACAAATACGTTCCGCTGTCAGTCTGTGCCAATGTATGCTTAGATCTTTAAAACTTCGCAAAGGATCTTGACGCTGTTTTTTTTACTAGATAAAATGATTCAAAAGGAAGGTTTATATGTATATAACATTACACCCGTGCGAAGCCGGGGCGGGGGGTCGCTAGTAAATAATATTTTCAAATGATTTGTATTCATATTTTTGACATAATCAATTTAACGCAAGGATATTTCTTTATTTGACTTAAAGAAAAAGCCTGGGCAGCAATTCATTTTCAAAAGTTTTCATTTTGCATTTTAACAAGTGAGCCAAAGAATTTGTCAGGATTGTCAGTAAGTTCCAGTTATAAATAAATATCACGAAATCGGGTGAATGACCTTCGTAGGATTGCGAATCATCATTTATGTCGGCTCGTATAGAGTTGCCGCGGGGTCGTTTGTCTCGAACGGCGACCTTTAAACACCAACGAACAAACGAAGCGACGCGGAATAGCCCCCTCTCCGACAAATTTCCGCTTTAATCTCGCCTCGTTTGTCGCCCGTTTGGAGTTACCTTGAGGACGCTTAGTTGGTCGGGTGAGCCCGGTAAGCCTGTAAGATCGGGTTTCACTTAGATCCCCGCGAAAACATAGGGTTTGATGTTCTCGATAACTTTATCGGAAGTATTATGTTCTTTGGTTTAAGTATAAGTTTATGAGAAAGTTGTTTGCTTACTTTATTAGGTTTTATGTTTTTGGTCCCTTTCGGACTGGATTTGTTTTAGTTATCGTCATCAGGACGTCTAATCAATTTGTTGGTTGTTGTTTGGTGATATGTGAGCTAGTTGTTGCTCTGATTCTTGGCCAAATGTGAGACGGCGATTTTCGCAAATAAGAAATTCAGAAAAAATAGGAAAAGCTATGTTCAACCCCATCCGGTACAAATCCGAGACTCTTACGGCAACGTCCTAGGACGTGAACTACACTGTTGGATTGTATACGATGATACACGACTGGAAATTTTTTATTTAAATACAAATAACTAAATGCCTTTTAGATTACTCTGCTCTTCAAGTCTTTTTAAAAACTTGTAAGGTCATCATCATAAGAAGTCTTTACCAAAGTAATAACGTTGTGCAATAAAGAGTATTATCGCGTGTAAGCAAGTGACTCGAGAGATAAAATTTATTCATAATGAATTCGCCAAGTTATTACGAACATTCAGATTAATATAATGTATTAGAAACGATACATACATGTTCGCAACATACATACGTGTAAAGATAGAGTCATGTAAAAAAAAAATCATGTCTGTTGTTAGGGAGCCCCACTTAAATATTATTTTTTTCGGTTTTTTTGTATTTTTTGTTATAGCAGCAATAGAAATCCATTATCTGTGTAAATTTCAACTGTCTAACTATCACGGTTCATAATATACAGCCTGGTGGCAGACAGACAGCGGAGTCTAAGTAATAGGGTCCCGTTTAACCCTTGGTGTCCGTACCCATTTTTAGGGTTCCGTGAACCCTAAAAATAATCCCCTTTTATATACAATAATAAAGAGAAGGTACTCAAATTATGACGTGAGCATCTCCCAGACGAGAGTGAACAGGCTTTTAGTTATGTATGTTACATGTCTGCTTACTGGCAAGTTAAGTACAAGCCAAAAACAGGCAACTATAAACTACAATTGAATACTGTGTACTTACTAAATGTAAATCGTTTTAAATTTTGTACGAAACAATACATTTAGAATTTGAAAGATTCTGGAACTGGTTATTTAAAATAAAAAAAAAATCACTTACGGAATTCGAAAATGAAACACGTTACATATTTACGAGACTGTCCTTTATCCTCCTCTACACCTCAATAATATTTTTCGATTTTCACTGCAAGTCAACAAGAAAGTAGTACTTGGACATGATGATCTCTCACAGCAATGTACGAGCATTTGAAGGCCGCTCAGTGAGTAAGTTTACAGAATCACTATCGATACCATACGACAACAGAGAGAAACTGCCAAATAATTATTTGTCAGCAAATACGTACTAAAGGTTAAAAAAAAATTATATTACATCAATTTAAAAGTGAATACGTGTTAAAGTGTGTTTGTTTATGTAGATAGCTCAGTTTCTGAGTATTCGTTTTGTAATTCAATATACTCGAGCATACTGAGTTTAAATCCCGGCACCTATGAAATTCTTAATTGCAATTTTCAGTGCTGACTCATCACGCGCTCAACGGTGAAGGGAAAATTTCTAAGGAAACCAGTACATTTGAAAAAAAAATATCAAGAAAATAACAATAAATGTATAACAAATACATAATAACTCATCTTATTTATCAAAATCCAGAAACCTTCAATTTGATCTAATTGGTATTATTACCAGGCGCCACAGTATGGTAGCTGAATCGAGAGCGCCTCAAGAAACCGGATGTGCCCCCCGGAAGCCACGTAGCCAAAGGCGCGCACTGAAACCCGCATCCGTCGTGGCTTCTGGTTCTCGTTATTGGAAAGTCGCCTCGATCGAAAGCGTTCCCAATCGTCTAGCCGAGAGGTCGGGTCTAGTTTGTCATCGGTGTTTTTTTTTTTTCATATCACTGGCTATAACGGCCCGTTAACTATCCTATCTGATTGTCTGTTGTTTTGTCATTGGTGGTATTTTTTTAAGATACATATTATTATGTATGTTTATTATGAAATGTTGAGTATGAATGAATATAAACGCTGCCCTTTGCACAGTTAAATTATTGGTCGGCTATTTAAAAATTTTTAGCCATTTCTGTTTTTCTTAATCTTGCCTTCATATAGGGATTGAAAATTTGCATCTGCAATGTTAAGAAATAAATATATATAAATTAAGTCATCAGTTCGTTTTTCAGCCGACTTCAAAAGAGGTTTACAATTCGACTGTATTTTTTTTATGATTGTTGTTTGTTACCTCAGAACTTTCGACTGAGTGAAGCGATTTTGATGATTCTTTTTTTTTATTTGAGAGCTGGTGCTTCCCATGTGGTCCCATATTAATTTCATTGGTATTGGTCTTGGGCTCCAGGGATACTTAGGGAACTCCTGAGAATCAAATATAAAATGCGAGATATTTAAACTGAAGAGCCGTGATAGCTCAGTGTCCGGGCGCTCGCCTTTAATTCAATATATACTCGAGCAACCTGAGTTCGATCCCCGGTGCCGGCACCAATTAAGTTTTTAACTTTTAGTGCTGACTTATCACGTGCTCCGCGGTGAAGGAAAACATCGTGAGGAAACCTGCATATTTTCGAAATTAAAAAAAAATTTTTTTTCGAAGGTATGTGAAGTCCGCCAATCCGCAGTGGGGTCGCGTGGTGGACTATGCCCTGATACCCTCTGTATAGAGGAGGCCTTTGCCCAGCATTGGGACATGTATAGGCTGTTACTTTACTTTACTTTACTATATTTAAACTGGTTTCCGTTTTTCGTTAATAAATATATAAAAAAGTACAGAGTGAGTTTTAATCGATCACGTTGGAAGCGCATCACTTATTCTCGTAAATACTCATCCAATACGTTAAATCAAAGAGAGGCGATATCAAAGAGATGTCATGTGGCTTTGACGGTGTCGTGATTCGATCAGGTCCCGAAAGGTGCACTCAGACTGAATGGTTTTAGATGGAGCGGTCTCTATTTAGCGTACGGTGGCTATATGTTGGAAATTTATGATGCGCTCATTAAGTTCTAATCAATTTTATTTAAACCATTTAACTTAAAAGACTAACTGAGTTACAAGCTGGGGGACAAGGTAGGGAGGGTAGTTCTTTATTCAACGCTTCGCAAATAGTTTGCTATACACAAATTGCGCAAAGTCGATCGACGAAAACCCGACCGAGTGACTTTGGGTACGAACATTCGAGTGTCAGAATCGAACGGGTGATCTTTTCAAAGCGTAAGAAATAACGCCAATCACTCTATCCGTCATAACTACACTATGCGTTACATATACATAGGAACGACGTATTAATTAGCCCCCGTTTCCGCCCCCGGGGAACATTATCCAGTCTCCGCTAATAACGTAAACATCCGCCTCGTGGCTGCCTTGTTATTTGGCTTAGTCTAATCTGATTTGCGATATTATTACTAGCCTTTTAACATGCTCCTATAGTTATCATAAAACTATGTTTATACGTACATATATGTTCGCAGTAATGGAACCTTTGAATTTTTTTTCTAGTTATACGAACTACTAGTACCTCATCTAGTGGGCGTCGTCCACGAAGCTCAAAAGGAACGAAGAATGCATAAATTGGCCGCGCATTGTATCCCCGGTTTGGAACCTACGGAGAGACCGTACAAATCATACGGAGTCTTGAAGCTGTGTGTGTCTTTATTTATTTTATTTTATTTATACTTTATTGCAACCTTTAAATAAAAAGGGCGAACTTAATGCCATTAAGCATTCTCTCCCAGTCAATCCGGGGCGCGGTGAGAAATCGTCTTTGCGAGTGGCTAAACGGTGTCTAACGGTGGTAGGGCCACGCAGCAGCCTCGGCAGTTGCACGAATGGGCAGGCTCGTCCGGGTAAGTACCAAAACCTCACAGAAGACCGGCGTAAAGTGGAAGTATAATACTTTCGCGTTTCGTCTGGTGAGTGAGGTGGCCGGAGAACAATTTTCAAGAGGTTGTCAGTGCATCTGGAACCCTCGGGTGTAGCAGATGTCCATGGGCGGCGGTATTCGCTTAACATCAGGTAAACCGTTCTTTCACATAAAAAAACAGCAGCTGTGGAGGATTAGTGGAGCTGTGTCGAAAGGGGACTCGTTTTGCGACCTTGCCCCGATCGTATTGGGGCTGCCGGGAAACGTTTCCCGAAGGTCTCGGGCACCCTGCCAACGGCCATCGACATTCATTGTTCTCTCGCGAGGTCTTTGTTCCTCCATTTATACTTGACATACATTGATTCGTCTTGATTCGTCTCGCTAGAATTTAAGTGAATCTATTTTCTACTATCATCTTTATCACTCTAGTAACTTCAGGTTGTTAATTTATTTAACGAGCATTTACTATGCTCGGTTTTCTAAAAGCCACTTCGCAACTACGTATATAACATAATTGACCGAAGTTTACACCGCGAAAGTTAATAAAGTGATATGTATGCAAAAAAGCCTTCTTATTATGTAAATGACTCACAATGAAACTTTTCGTCTATTTACCTAATAATTTTTAAGATCATTACGTTAATTTTTACAAATGTTGACTCACTACACCGTAACGTCTATTATATCCCTTCATCATCGCCGTCGCCTCAAAAAAGGGAAAAAAAAAGTTTTTTTTCCGCATTTCATTCCACGAAACAATAAATGCGTTTAGCCTCAAAAAGCCGACTCCTAATTAGCCCTTTTTGTTCCATTCCAACAAAGTGAGACAGATGCCGCGTAACAAAAGTCCCTTAAACGCGCCGCTGTAAAGTCGGCCTAATTAACTGTCCATTGTGTTGGCGGACTGCGAGCGGTGGATTATGTAGCGCTACGCGGCGCCTGAAACCTTAAAGCCGACTACAAACGGAAGCGTACGCCGTCAAAATTCTGTAGCGCTACGTCGTAGCCAAAGGCCCGTAGCTTCTACGTATATGGGTCGATTTGAGTGCCCGATGACATAAAAGCACTAACGCGGGTTTCGTTTGGTTTGGTTTTGACGATATTCGTTGAATTCTCTTTGTATAAATGACTTGCAGTAAACTCGACTTTTGCAACTAATTAGAATTTGTTTTCGAGGAAATAATTTCACTTATATGTAAAACTTATCGCTTCACACGGGTAGTAGAGCTAATACGCGAATATTTTTTACCCTCCGAGTTTAATCCACGTAGCATGATTTTTACAAAAACGTCAATAATTATTGTTATATTTCAAACAATATACACAGAACCTTACCGGTTTTGTTTTTTGCTAATATAATGTATTTGTCAAAATATGTACTGAAATAATCAAGCATACTTTTAGTAGATTTCGATAATTCTTTAACATTTTCCCGTTAGTCTTACGTTCATGTTCATTTCTAGTCATTCTGAATTTTTTATACTTATATACCGATTCTGTTTATCACAAAATTAGGAACTATGTTTAATCCGTAAACAATCACAGTCAGACGTCCAACGCCTCAGTCTGTCCCGTGACCATGAACGCTCTAAAGGATTCGAAACGTCGGGAATTCAAACAAAAAAAAAAGGAACGCGATAAATCGGTAAATATAGTTTAACTTAGTAATGTGTTATCGCGCCAATACAAGAAATTATTATCATTCAATTTCCGAATCATATTTTTCGTGACTTTGCTTTCTGGAATGCTCTTTCAAATGCGCCCCTAAGCCAATCCTCATATGTGTGTATGCTTATGTTATACTTTTATCTGGAAATATGTGCTGGTACACGGCATATATGTCAAGCAGTTACGTCTGAAGCGGGCTTAAGTCGTCTACAGCCAAGTGATTATGTTCGATGGCCCTAAGTAAGCAGCTTAGCGTCGACTTTTCTCGTATACACCAAGATTGTGCAGCGTTCGCTCCGAGTACGCGATACGACATTCAGATATGTCGCGATTGATTTTCTGAACGGATATTATCTTTGTATTTAATGTCAGACAGAATATCTTGCTTCTGATTAATTCGATTCATGCACAATTTAACTGACAGCACTAAGAGAAGTTAAGATCTTGAGGTGTTTCATCCGACTGTGTACTCTTTGCTCGAGACTCGATGCTCTTGAATGATGTTAAACAAAATGCTTGGAATTATAAGTAAGGAAATCAATGAGAATATCAATTTTATACGATTTGATATATATTTAAGTAATTAGAATTTATTTTACATCCAGTATTTAGAACACTAAATCTAGCTAAATTACATATTATCTAGGCCACGGGGCATGGTGCCAAGAATGCTACCTTCAATTTTTCGCTAAATACTTATGATGCACGGAATTCACATCGCATAAAATAATTTCAAAGGGAAATACAAATCGAAATAGAATCTACGGTTGAAGTAATTGAACATTATTCAATCACATGAGAAGTTTACGAGTAACATTCATAACATTAGGTTAAACTTTAGCCGCAACGTTTACACAAGCTCACCTAATTAAATAAAAACTCGTTTCGTGTTACGTGCTACACAATTAGTCGAGTTGGTGTGCTCGGAGCGGAGCGCCTCAAAAAAGGGAAAAAAAAAGTTTTTTTTCCGCATTTCATTCCACGAAACAATAAATGCGTTTAGCCTCAAAAAGCCGACTCCTAATTAGCCCTTTTTGTTCCATTCCAACAAAGTGAGACAGATGCCGCGTAACAAAAGTCCCTTAAACGCGCCGCTGTAAAGTCGGCCTAATTAACTGTCCATTGTGTTGGCGGACTGCGAGCGGTGGATTATGTAGCGCTACGCGGCGCCTGAAACCTTAAAGCCGACTACAAACGGAAGCGTACGCCGTCAAAATTCTGTAGCGCTACGTCGTAGCCAAAGGC